TATATATATATATATATATATGCAAGCAAATATAGGGATATAGATCCGACAGTACGAAGAAAAATATACGGAAAAATCAAACAAAAATCAAAAAAAAATTTAGTATTTAGTATTTCCCCTTTTCTAGCGAGATTAATGCTCGACAAGCGTACATATAAATTTTAGATTAAAATGGAATTCTTTTCATTTTTCATTCAAAATACTCAAATTTTAGGAATACGTTTTCACAACGGCGCCCACGTGACGACAACGTGACCATGTTTTAAACGGAGCGCTGACCTTTCGGTTATCTGTTTGGATAAGTCTTGTTCTTATGTACATCGTCTTTGTCATGTTGAATTGATAATGTTAATTATATTTTATGAATATGTCCTGAAGATGGTTTATTAGACCGAAGCGTCCGACGTTGACATATTAACATTAAAACAGCATAATTGTATATAAGGATTTTTTGTTTGTATTTTCCGTATATTTTTTTCTTCATATATATATATATATATATATATATATATAGCTGGCCACTCGTATTCGAGGATACCCGTCTACTACTTGCTAATCAAATCAATCTCGAGGGAAAAAAGGTTTTAAAAAAAAGAAAGAAAGAGCTACAAACATGAACTTCTGTCGACAAAAAATCGCACAGACGCAGGTCTGAAGCCCGAAGAAAAAACCCCGATACGAGTAAACAACTAACTAACAAAAGAGCTCAATACAACCGTAGAGCAGGTAGGTTTGTCTGGCTCACTAGGTGTATCTATATATATATATATATATATATATATATATATAGATAGATAGATAGATAGATAGATAGATAGATAGATAAACCTAGTGAGAGCCAGCTTTCCCTAACGATCCACTTAGGTGAAACCTGGGTAGGTTTGTCTGACTCACTACGTTTATCTAGGTCTGCTCTACGGTTGTATTGAGCTCTTTTGTTAGTTAGTTGCTTACTCGTGTCAGGGTTTTATCTTTGGGCTTCAAACCTGTATCTGTGCGATTTTTTTCGACAGACTTTCATGTTTCTAGCTCTTTCTTTGTTTAAAACATTTTTCCCTCGAGATTGATTTGATTATTGGCAATTCAAAAATTCGAGGGTTTTTCGAAACGAGTATAGTTACCCATATTTGTATTTATATATATATATATATATATATATAGTAGCCTGGTCATTTCAGAGCAGTCCATTGCTATCCACGTTGTGGTAACGTTATTTCCGATTTTTATAACTTTTCTTATTTTCTCATAGACTCTTTGGCTGTGTCCTCTGCGTTTTTAAGGTTACTGCGTCATACATATCCTCGTGTATTACTACACTATCCACTTCGCTGGATTGCTTCACCGGCTTGAATTTGATCTTCTCGATATGTAACTTATGCTTTGGTTACCTCTTTTTGCTCAGAACCATATCTTCCGTCTTCTTAAAATGAACAATTCCTCCTTGCTTCTTGTTTCCCAAACTCGAAACAATCAGAATGTGTATCTCTATAAACTTATTCAACATTAAAATTTCTCTCCCCACAACGTTTCTTAAATACATCGTCAGTAGTACTTAAAATTATCTAAATACCAAGTTGAAAGGATTTCACTCAAAGATATTATTTTCCTAATACCTTTATTTCTATTGCCTTTGATATGTAATAATCTATGAGGTTATGTGCAAGCGTTTCCAGCCAAAAAAAAAAAACAAGTTTTCAAATCTATTTTCGATCTAATAGTTTTAAACATCTGAAAGGTAGAAAAAGGAACCTGTGTCTGCCGCCCAATAGTTTTATCCCTGCTCTAATCTTGTGTGGCCCCTACTAGAGGCACCTGGCCCAACTGCTCTTCACGAAAGTTGAAAGAAAAAATAGAATTTACAGTTTACTCGCATCACCTGCAAATTTTTACGTATGTCTCGAGGTAAAACACTACAAGTACATTTCCATCTAAATACTACATGTTTATATAATAACTGTTACCATGGCAACAACGGAAGTAGGGAGTTTTGTTGGACTATAGAACTTGTCAAAGAAAAGCAGAGCGATATTACATAAACAATGCCACGCTAATGTTTAGACGGAACATAAACAGTTTTGCTCATTTACAGTTATTTTCGAGTGAGCAAATGGAGAATCACATCAGCTGATATTTTTTTCCTTATTATTTAATGAGATTTAGTCTATGGGCAGAGTTTTTCGTTTCTCTTTTAAATGCCTTAGAGCACCGTTGCTTTTGCAGCGATAAATCTGTATATGTCTGTTCAGTGGATTAGATTCTGTAAGAATAACGACAAGCTGGTGACGTTCATACTCTGCACATTTCCTTAATATAATGTAAAATAATATATTTTTCCCTTGAGGATTTATATATATATATATATATATATATATATATATATATATATGTGTGTGTGTGTGTGTGTGTGTGTGTGTATGTGTGTGTAGGTATGTGAAAAATAGGAAAAGAACACGTTAGGTAAATAATCCAAGGTTTTTTAGATTTTAAAAAAATAATTATAATACATATATATATATATATATATATATATATATATATATATATATATATATCGTAATCATTTTAAAAAAATGTTCCATCGTCACATAAAATACTAAAGAACTTCGGATTATTAACCTAACGGTTCTTTCCTTTTTTTAAACACACACACACACACACACACACACATATATATATATATATATATATATATATATATATATATATATATATATATATATATATATATATATATATTTCTCAGAATTAAAAAAGACAATATCTATTGAGGAAAAAGACAATAGGAAAACTGTTGTTTTAGGCGACGCGTTTCGTCCAATGTGGACTTTTTCAAAGCATAAAAAACGAAATGAATTTATTGAAAAAGAGTATCTATAGACAACAAACAAAATGCTAGCAACTAGAAGAATTTAGAAACGCCCTTTTCTATTCATATGGTCAACAATAAATTCAACCACAATTTTGAGTTTATAAATGCGGCACTCATAAAAAAGAAGATAATTCACTCGGAATGAAAATCCTCGAGAGTGCCGTCATTGAATATTATCCAAATATTAATCTACGCCCAGGTTTTTTCCCAATATCACCTTTCCTAACAGAATCAATACTCTACCATACCAATGTACACAACAGATATATCAAGAAATCAAAAGAAAACAGTTGAATCCGTCAACACACCAATGCAAACAATATTTCTACACGTGAAAATATTCTCTTCGAACATAAAGTAATTGACGTATTTTTTGTGTTTATAGATACTCTACTTCAATAAATTCATTGCGTTTTTTGCCTTGAAAAAGTCTCCATTAGACGAAACGCGCCGGCTAAAATAACAGTTTTTCTATTGTCTTTTCCTTAATACATACACACACACACATATATATATATATATATATATATATATATATATATATATATATATATATTGTAATACAAGTTTGTTTTTTATGAATATTGTAGTGTTACTTTCCTTAACTTAAATGCCTATAATTGACAACAGAAGCCATTGGTTTATACCAACGGCTTCCCACACTTAATACTTCTCGTTTTCACTCTCGCGTGGTCATGTGTGACGTCACGAGCTGCGACGCGATTTTCGCTTCCACGTCGCGTATACAGGAGTTAGTCGTTGCTTTGAAATTTTTCATGCAAAAAAAAACAGACTATCATTATTGTTTCGCCCGTGTATTGGTTGATATATTGAAAAGTAATTGTCATCTTTGATAATAGCTTATGTAAGCCGAAAGCTTAGATTGGATTTAAACGTGTATCAATATGGTGATTTCCTTTCGTCTTTCAATGAAAATGTTATTAAGCTTATCAGACAATATAAAAGGAACTTACTTAAAATAAATAGACACAACTTGTACATATTATTTAATGAAACATGCATTAATGAAAAATTGCTCCCTAAATATACACAATGTATATATATATATATATATATATATATTTGAACCACACGCCCATATATGTATACAGGGTTACTCACTTCTTTGTGGGCATTTAGTAAAAGACTCATAATTCATGAAAGAAGAGCTTTATTTGAGAAACAATTGGCTTGAATAACCTTGAGACACTTCTTGCTGAATCTGTTTAATGTATCCGCCTTTAACATCGATATGAGGTCTGAAAGTTTGACATGACTGAATCAAATGATCTTTTTCTACTTTTGTACATTTTGCTAATTATCATAGACATCAGAATTATTATAGTCTTATAGGGACGTTGATTAAATTCTCTCTCGACTATGTCCCATATGCAATAGTCCAACGAAATCAAGTTTAGAGAGTTATGAATCCATATATCAGCGGTGACGTGATTGTGGAGATTGTATAACATCCATTCTTGGGTCGTCCTGGCTTTATGAGAGCGCAGAGTCCTGTTGGTAAGTGTACGGTCGTCATTTGCTCACACTCTCTATGCTCACAGGCTTTTTCAGCACCCTTCCTTATAACCAGCAGCCTTGACCTTTAGACCTTGAGGAAAGAAGTGCATGACATCTTTCTCGTAGCTCACAATTCCCAGAACCATTTATAATTGATGGGGGTTTTGCCTCCTTGACCTTTGGAATGTCCTTAAGGTTTCTGCTTAACCATAATTCATTCCTTCGAAAACAAAAGTATTCCAGGCTCTTTATGTTCAAGCTTTCAAAAAAAAAAAAACGTTATGTGAGGATCTTTTTTGTCTTTGCAGACATGAATTGACCTCTCCGCATCACATATGACTTGACCTCTCCGCATCACACTTGACTTGTACTTTTTGATGCGCAGTTCTTCCGATAAATTGCCTTGAAACCTTGAGCTCCTTAGCAATAACCTTAATTGCCTTTCTGTGTTAGTAATCGCTAATTTATAAATCTGGCTATTCTGGTGACATTATAACGCGTTTTACGTTTGGTTATAAGGCGTTTTACGTTTGGTTACTGCTCTAGAATCCCTGACAGAGGCTCCAAGGTCTCTGTGAAATTCGACAACAGAAAGTGAGCAATCTCTAAATCACTATGCGCTGCCTTTAAGGCGATGATTGCAAAGTGTCTTTTTATTTGCTGAGTTAGATTGATGTTTGTCATCATTTATCTGAAAAGAGAGGATAAATCAAAAGAATTTATTTTGTGGCCGTTAATAATTAAGTAAAATTTAAGACTTCAATGTTAATTAAAACAGTATTTAATTATAACCGCAACTAAATACTAAACAAGAACAAAGGAGCAAAAGTCAACCAAAGATAATTAACCATTTAACTGAATACCTTGTTAGTTGCGCGGCTCTGCTTAACGTCCAGTAAATTTTAAATCAAAACCCAAATCATCAACGCACAATAATTCACACTAATTCGACTGGATAGTTCCACTCAATAGTCACTCAATAATCACTGCAGTCAGTAGCCTGACACCGCTATTTATACGCCTGGCGGAAAATATATATTCATAAATCCAGAGGTTACGGCTAGTGCTAATGTGCTGAAAATATTTTGGATTTGACCACTGTCCAAGAGAGATCTATCCAACAAGAAATTTGATACAAACGTTCTTTACCTGATATTATTTAGGCTTACGGTCACATAACGTTGAAACACTGGTTTCTTTGTTATCACCGAAGTTAAGCAACATTAAGTCTGGTCAGTATCTAGATGGGTGACCACTTCGGAATACTAGGTGCTGTACACTTTGATTCCCAGATGGTATGATGTGCTTACAGCTGTATGACTTTGAAACCCAGGTTCTCGTATGAGCAAGAAAGTTATGCAACATCAAACCTGGTCAGTACCCAGATGGGTGACCGCGTGGACATACCAGGTGCTGTAAGCTTGGATGTGCAGGTGGTGTAATGGATAGTGGCTCGAAATATTTAATCGGAGAGACGAGTTCGAATTCCATTTGATTTCGTTATATTTACACGCGCAAATACCCTGGGGAAATGTATGAACCCACCTCTTCTGCCTCCAGATTTGGGCTAATTAGTAAAACTTGTATCACTACATGAATAAATCAATCAATGATATTAAGTATGCTTCTGACTCTTTCATCATAACTATGCCGAAAATTCAAACAATATAATCTTTATTACTATCAAAGTCTGTGAACGTTTGCTTGTGTATTTGCCAGAAGACATATATAGGGAGTGAGTGAAAGAAAGATATCAATTGATTATCGTATGGATACACGTGCAAATAGCGTAATCGGTGCGGAAAATACAATTGACGAGCCGTGTTCAATTCCCACTTCCCCTCTTGCGAAAGTGTGTATCCAATCTTCCCTTGAGAAAGTGTGTATCCAATCTTCACTTGAGAAGGTGTGTATCCAATCTTCTCCAGCTATGGGGTTAAATAGTAGATTAAATTGGCCTTGCGCCGCAGCAAATCTAGCAGGACAATTTTAAATTCAAGTAGATGTTCATCAACGCCTGAGTTATATATAAATGTGTGTGCAAACGCGCGCATCGATCGATAGATAGATAAAGAACAGGCTGAGATAGATAGATAGATAGATAGATAGATAGATAGATAGATATGAACTGACATAGATAACACAAAAATTAGAGAAATGTGGACAGAATAGGGTAGATATATTAATAAATAGACAGGCATGTATCAAATGAGAAAAATAGATATTGATAGATAGCTATTAAAAAAACTTAGATATGAACAGACATAGATAGATAGATAGATAGATAGATAATGAACAAAATGAGATAGATAGATAGATAGATAATGAACAAACTGAGATAGATAGATAATAAGCAAACAGATAGATAGATAGATAGATAGATAGATAGATAGATAGATAGATAGATAATGAACAGACTGAAATAGCTAGCTAGCGAGCTAGTTAGCTAGATAGATAGATAGATATGAACAGATTGAGATAGAGAGATAATATATTGTAATTATATGCTGGTAGTCAGCACGTTATCGATCCAGTCTCATTTTTACTTATTTACTATTTTCTTCCTCGAAATGGATCATTTTTCAGCTGGCATGGACCTTGCATGTCTACCAAGATGAGCTTTATATCCTTAGAGAGCTTTATATATAATTTATGTAATGCACTCATATCTTAAATGAATGCAAGACTTCTTGTGCACTATCATTTACACACAGTTAAAGAAATCTTCGTATGTCACTATTTTGATCTTGCAAGCAGATATGTTTTATATTTTGTTTCCTATGTAAAAGCTCCTATGTAATGTTAACAAAATGAGAGTTATATCAATTTCTAGACAAGAACGTCGCTTAGTGTTTCGTATTGTTCTCAACCTTTTTCTTTTTTCCTTCTGAAATATATGAACGACGTTTAATATGTCAACATCAAATGAATCTACAAATGAAAAGTTATTTTCTATTAAACTCAAAGTGATGTTTACGAATTCATGTAACCTAAACAAAATGTTGCTTTCATTTAATAACCGCAGAGAACCTTTTCTATCTGCCATCAACATGGCTGAAGCTAAACTCCAGTAGAGCAACACTTTCCGCCATTTTGGATTTACGTTTTCCCATGACATGAAGTGGTTGATTATATTGAATCACTTGCTAGGATAGTTGGTTCACTGTGTTTCCTTCTTACAAATATTTTGATGACGTTCTGATGAGCTTTTCTTAATGTCTTCCTTGATTGCATGGATTTATACGTCCTACGAGATTGGTGAACAGTCCCGTAGAAGCAAGCGAGCCAGAGTCGCTTGCATCTGGTGCATAGGAAAATAAGGGTCTTACCTTAATGGGTGGTACGTGACATCGGCAAGTTTGCCCCGTGAAAATGGCATTACTCTCCCGTCTAGCACTATGTGCGATAACGAGGGTTTTTGTACAGTTTGCCATGCTTCCACCAATAGCAAGTCGTGTGCTGATTGGTCGAACTGGAGGAGGCTATTTGTCTGGGTAACTGAGAATAAAAGCGAAGAACGCTGATTGGTTGGTCGACCGCAGTGTTGGCCTGATAAAAGAGGGCTGAAGCAGTGAAAACGGGTGAAGAAAAGACGGATATACATTGTGACGTGTTCAAAAAAAGCAAGAACGACGAATTGAACCAGTGATATCTTGATTTGTACAAGTGACGTCGTTGCAATACAGACTTATTTAAATTACAATTGGCAACTAGATCTCGCCGTTTTACTGTTTAACTACCTAGATGCAACCGTAAGTTCTATTCTAATAGTTTCTTCCGTCGTGTTCTGTCTATGCCAATGCATATTAGCAGGGTTACCTCATAAAGGTTACCTCATGGGGAGTTCTTGATGGTCTGGGTACCATCTAGAAGTCCTCCCTCTTTGCCAATCTTAAGAGGGACTTCTTTAAGGTCACAGTAGAATCTGTCTTGCTCTACGGCACATGGACACTGACGAAACACCAGGAAGCATCACTTGACGGAACATACACAAGGATGTTACGAGTTGCATTGGACATCATCTGGAAGAAACAGCCAACAAAGAAACGCCTGTATAGGCACCTTCCTCCTATCTCAGTTTCGGTAAGAGAGAGAGAAAGCTTCGGCTAGCTGGTCACTCCTGGAGAAGAAAGTGAGAACGTGTGAATGACACGTACATTGACCAACTTATGTCTCGAGATGTCACCTGGAGGACCTGCTGTCGATGATGTCTGACAGAGACAATTGGAAGGAATAAGTCAGAAGATCCGAGAAGAATTCTCGATTTGATGATGATGATGAAGAATAGTTTCGTTTCTTGCACTTTTTGCCTGTGAAATTCACTTTCGATTTCACGTTTCTCTCTCACTTACAATCTTCAAAGATTTAAATGCAAAGTCATTCGCTACTTTCTCTCTTTCTAAACCCTGTTTCTTTATTTTCCTTTTCCTCATCTCTTCTCACTAAAGTCTTCTCATTCTTTTTCAATTGCATTATCGCCTTGCTTGTTGTGAAATGATTTTAAAAAAATATGATATAACGTAACAGAGAATAAATATAGCGACGTGTGTTCTGAAGTTGTAAATACGATGCTGCAAACTATCATACAGCCAGGATTCTACGTTCTTCAATATGCTCTAAAGTTTGACTTCAGATTCTAACTTGTTTAACTCCATGCAACGCTCTGTGTCTGGTTACTTGTTCCATCATGTTAAAAATATTTTTTAAAAATCCATCCCAGAAACGTAAGTCGTTTCCTGTGATTTTACGCTGCAACGGTTCATCGAGATTCTAACAAATTGTTACAATTTTTTTCTTTTAAAACCGAAAAATACAGAAAATCGCCGACTGTGTCCCTCATTAGATTCTATTGATGGGGTTCTTGAAAAGAGAGAGAGATACTTGTTTTTTTTTTTTTTTTTTTCAAGCTTGACTATAGGTATTAGTATATCTATCTCCAGTAAAACAAAAAAAAAACGGCAAATTTATTCTTCGAGAAAATACACCAGCTTTAATTGGTCCATCTTAGTGTCCCTCGAAAAGCCCAGATCTAAATGTTATGGATTATCGTATATGGAATATACTCCTAACTCACTTGCCATACCGTCATCGTAATATTTTTATCATTGATTCGTTAAGCTAGAACGTAACTGAAGCTTGAAAGGAAATTCCTCTTGACACGTCCCGCAAAGGTACTGCCTCCCCTGGGTTAGCGAGCTTGCAATTTTACTATCAACTTAACTGGAGGGACTAGAATAACTTAAATAAATTCATTACAAAAATTAGTTATAACTGGAAAAAACTTGTATGCAACATTGAATTAAAGAGGAATAAGTATGGAACACACTCACACACACATTCACAAAAACACGCACACAAACACATATACTCGACTCACCCGTCGAATTCGACGTATGAGGGTCAAGCAGATCAGTTCCTAGGAACTGACAGCCTAACACCAGTACATGAGATTTGATTATAGCAGTGAAGTTGTTGTGCCGAACCATGCGCACTTTTTGAAAGGCCGAATACAGAAACCTAGGGCCCTACGTGCCCAACCGTCCCCGAACGACCCTCCACAGCTTTTGAATTCAGAGTTGTCCTTCTCCTAGACCAGTTGCCATCGAAGGCTATAGAACCCAGCCTGTTACCCATAGCTGGAGGGAGAAAAAGAGGATTCATACTTTTCCCAAGGATAGTAGCACGTAATGGATTTGATTGGAATTCAAACTGGGCTCTCCGATTCCTCAATCAAGCCGCTATCCATTACACCAACGTGCCATATATATATATATATATATATATATATATATATATATATATATATATATATATATATATATGAAGAAATATAGTCTTAAGGTGTGCTATATTTATGGAATAAAGTGCTCTATATCAGAGATAGAGCGTGTGTAAATATAAAAAGTGAACATAGAAGGCAACACTTAGAGGCGACAGTCTGTTTCATGCTATATGCATGGCGTGACGATTGCATATTGCATGAAACAGACTGTCGCCTCTATGTTCACTTCTAGGTTCACTTTTATATTTTATATATATATATATATATATATATATATATATATATATAAACAAAAATTTAAAATTCTTGAAGCTATATACATAAAACAGTTGAAACCTAACCTGAACAAAAAAAACTATGAAATCTCCACAAATATCCTTAAATGCCTATAATTGGTTTATACCAAAGGCTTCCCATACTTAATACTTCCCATTTTTACTCTCGCATGGTCATGTGTGACGTCACGAGCTGCGACGCGATTTTCACTTCCGCGTCTCGTATACACGAATTTGTCGTTGCTTTGAAATTTTCATGCATCAAGGGTGGACTATCATTGTTGCTTCGTCCGTGTGTTGTTTGATATATTGAAATTGCCATCTTTGATTATGGCTTATGTAAGCCGAAAGCTTAGATTGGATTTAAACATGTATCAATATGGTGTTTTGCTTTCGTCTTTCAATGATAATATGATTAAGCTTATCAGACAATATGAAAGAAACTTACTTAAAATAATTAGACAAATCTTGTCTATACTATTTAATGAAACATGTATATAATATATATATATATATATATATATATATATATATATATATACTTAAACGCTATTTTAGTGGATAGTTGTATTTGAGTAGACGCTCCGTTTATTTATTAAACAGTATATTTATTAATTTTTGTCTGCCGGCCTAAATATCCTACACAGAGAAATTAAAACATATTAAAATGCAACTAGTATTCATAGGGAACAAAGAGAAAGAAGGTCTTACTTGTAATGTCCTCAAGCGGTACAGCCCTAGTGATACGTCTTAGGTTTCTATTTGATACGCTTTTGTACTAGTACCGTCATCAAAATTGCCTGTGATTCTCACACCCACCTCCGTCGTGATGTACGTCGCTACTGATCATCCTCACTAATGTACTATCACATGACTCTCAAGGGCCCATTATACGTCAGTAAATTCATCCTGTCAAAAGAAAGATAATTACCTTCTACATTCCTACATCGTAGAGGATGAAATGCTAATAATTATCCTGAGATGATTTTCGTTTTTTTTTGTTTGTTTTTTTGTTATTCTTTTAATAAATTCATTTATCATCATCAGAAATGTAATTTTCCTGTGTTGAAAATAAAATGAAAGCCAACTGCTTAAATAAATTAAATTATTATTTCTGTAAGTTCTTATTGAACTCAATTTTTCGTGATTTTAAAATTCTTCTATGTCTTATAAAATATATGAAGTTTGTTGATTGTACAATCCGTAAATAAGCAAATAAACATATAAATAAAGTCGGAAACTGGGAATTTTTACATCGATCGAAAATATCTGCGGCAATGGATTTGTATTGTTTATTTCAATAATTTATTTAAATTTTTCTTTTATTGTTGAACATGAACTGGTGTAGAATTAAAATATGATATTTCTTTGTTTTTTTTCTTTTCAGCATATCTACATGTAGAGAAGCAGTTACTTGCCCATGTGCCTGAGCTTTGTCTAAAAATGGATGATCCCAGCAGCACACACACACACACACACATGCACACACATACAAACCCAAACGCAGCAGCAGTAAAATGACAACTAATCATTGAAGCAACGTTGGAAAATACCACTACCATCGGAGCAACAAGGAAAAACACAAGAATCCAAAGGCAACCTACAATTATTCCCCATACCACCGCCACAACCATCAATATTACAAAGGATCAAATAATAAGTGTTATGTTGTCTCCATTACCAATCACTACGCAACCTAAGAGGTCCATCCAAGAACCAACAAGCAATGGTTCAACTTTTAAATATATTTTCGGCAATTTTTTGGAGGACTCTGTTCTCTTAAAAATGTTTAGGTTATCCGGTCCTCGAAATTAATTAAGAAAGTCCTTTTTACATTAAAAACCAGTTGAATTACTCCGAAGACACTGAGGTAGTAGTAAGAATAAAGGCTGCTACGTTAACTCGCAACTACATGAGCCATTTGAACGAGAACTATTTATAATTGCATTCGGAAACAAGAAAATGAATTGCCTCAAGTTTTATGTCCGTGTAATCATTTGGCAACATTTCTTTTTTTTTTTATCCAAACATAACAAATTAAATTGCACTCGGGAACTTCTCTTGATTACATACCAATTGTAAGGGAAGAAAACAAATTTCTGTAATAAAAAATTATGTGAAATAGAACTTATACACATACATATATAGAACAGATTAACATTTATTGATACCTCCCTATATGTATCTAAAGGGTGACCACCACACACACACATATATATATATATATATATATATATATATATATATATATATATATATATGTATATATATATATATTGGATACTTACTATTCTTTCTTTCTTAGAGGTAGTCATAAAATTCTATTTTAAACATTATCTTTAAATTACTTTCTTTAGTTTTACCATTTGATTGAACAAGAAGAGGTGGCGACAATCTTCAACGGCGTCATACCGGTGCTTAAAAAATTTGAAGCACTTAGTTTATTAAAAATTACAGGGGATCAGCTTCTTGTATGAATATGAAATCGCCTATCCTGTGAAATGTTTGGCCTGCTTTGCCAAAAAAATTTTTTCTGTTAGGGGTTCAGAAAGAAAGCAACTATTTAATTTTTGTTGTCGTCTGTGTTAGGGAAAAGTTCAGTATTGTATTCATCATTGATTTGTGCATCAAAATAATAATAATAATAATAAAAAGAATCGAATTCAAATCTATTTACATGTAGATTCAAGCTATTCTAGTTGCAAAATTCCTCTCAATTTATTTGTGAATTAAAAATAAACCGAAAATTATAATAATTTAGGATAAATAAAGTACGAACTTTTATTTCAAACATATAAATTAACAGAAAATTCTATCTCTTCTATAACATTTAAGTGTCAAAATACAAATTATCTATTTCTATGTCGTCGATTTTTCTTAGGACGTAGAAAAATGTTACCCCCCCACACACACTATATATATATATATATATAAACGTAATGATCTGTTGTTATATAATCCAAGTGAATCCTATTAATATAATATAAATTATTAAATATTAAAACTGATTCACGTAGAGCGCTCAATGTTTTATTTAGACAGAGCATATAAATTACATACAATAGGAATTAAGAATACATATCTGTTATGATCATATCATTCTGTAAATTAAGATAATTTACAAGGAATTTTCAAACCGGTCATGTTTTTGTTTTTTTTAACATGACCGATTTGAAAAATCCTTGAAAATTATCTTAATTTACAGAATGATATGATCATAACAGATATGTATATATATATATATATATATATATATATATATATATATATATATATATATATATATATATATATATATATAGGGATAAACAATGCGTTTGTATATGTGGATTGTAAATATAAATGACTAAGCATAAAGATTCGAAGAAATTTCTTGAAATGGTAAAATGAATAATTGACAGAAAATAGGTTTCTAATGTGAAACATTGAAAAAAATTCTTATTTGGTATAACTGCTAGGATCAATTCAGCTATGAATCATATCCTCAAAAAGTTAACTATTTTTCTATGGTCGAATATCAGAGCTTTAAAATCATTTAGGTACACCTGATATTTAAAAATAAATTTGGTCAAATTACTATTATATGTTGCATTAGCAATATAAGGGCAAATCACCTTCTCTTCTGGGTTATGAACTTTTAATAGTCCTATGTCAGTTAGATGACAGGCATCTCTTCCCAGAATTCCCTGAAAAACTCAGCAACTGTTGAGAAACACCTTTGGATATCAGAAGACATGTGATAATGATAGAATTGTTTCTTATACGAATATTTTAGCTTAATTACTAAAAATGAGAATATGTTTGTGAAGAAGAACGCTATTTTAACTGAGTTAATACTTAATATGATAGTTCTGTTCATGAAACTCTGCCTTCATGAACATTAGACTAACCCTTTGCTTGTAAAATCTGTGATAACCAATTTTAGAAAAAAGATCCATTTATTAGACCTCCAAAAATACGTTTTGAATGATGGGTATTTTTCAAGAACATTTTCCATGTCGTTCTCGAACGTGAAACTGCCTTAAAACGAGAGAAAAAAATCCGGTGAACTGAAAATATTTTAAAATATTTTCATATATATATATATATATATTATCTGGACGAAGATACTTTTGAGTACGTTTTATTCTTAAATTTATGTTTGAGATAATGTCTTCCAAAGCTTAGCAAATATACTCTCGATAGACATGAATTAAAAAGCTCTTCGAAAGTTTTAGACTAACTAAAATATAAAGCAATAAAATTCGGTTCCGATGTCATAAAGACTGGTTTAATAATGTACCAGTGTTAACCAGTTATAATCTTAACGGAGGTGATTTTCTTGTCTGTTTTACAAAAGTCAATTGTGTCCTGTAAATATACCGTGAAACGCCATGATCATTTCTATTTATATTCGCTCTAAAATATGTCATTTACAAATCAGTGTAAGAGAACAAAGTAGGGGCTGAACAGTAACTCCAGGAAGTTAACTGTACGTAACGAGCACATTAGAATGGCCAAGAAACACACTAGACATTGCATACTAAGCAAAACAATTTGAATTCTTTTCCAAAGAATTCACGTCATGATTGGAAAATTAAATAGTAAGATTATCGTTATCCTTTTTAGAATCGCTAATGCTGTAAGAATATATTTCCGAATAATATAAAAAATAAAATTAAGCACTTTAAAAGAAAAAAATTTTCTGATTCTGTCTTTCAGTAATACGTTGACGCAAAAAGGTATCAATAAAGTGGGTCGATTAGAAAGGATTAGCCCTAAAATTTCATTGATATTGTAGTATCGTATGCAAATTAGAGAGACAAGTATAAATAGAGAACAACTGGCGAACATAAGCAACAGCTATACCTACCAATCCCGGTTGCTATTCAGGACACGGAGAACTGTACAATAACTACTACTACGCAGAGAAATATGCAAAACGTAACAGATATATTCAACCAATATTTAATTAAGCACAGGCTAAATGCCGCTTATAACATTTCAGAGAGAACAGAAGATGTTTATAAATCCTACCTTAGTTGAAGGCAAGACAAAAAACTCTGTAATTAGTAGTTAATAGACACAGGGTTATCTCCATTGGACAGGGCTTTTACATGACACATGCAAAGTCTTTTTAAACAACATTGATAAATATCGCTCTAAGAAAGCACCTCAATTACTAAGTTAAAACTCAAATTCTGATACATTCCAACAGTCAAGAATCATGTTTCTGCCATTAGTCACAGAGACTTCATTTGTTGGCACTTTTCAATTAAGCTTTTGCTTAAAAAAAAACTTGTTTTATTTAAATTTAGTTAAGCTATATCACGTTTCTGTATATACTTCTGTATGCAAATATATATATATATATATATATATATAATATTAGTGGTTAATATACACACATATACATATATATATGTAAAATATATTCATACATACATATACATACATACATATACAAATATATATAAAAAAATTCAAGGGGATAGTATCCAGGTAGAACCCAATGTCCAGGACAGAGTAAGGATATAATAAAAAGGCTTAAACACTAATATTCCATGGTTCCTTTGTAGGTCTGATGAATTGGATTGTATTTACGATTCCAATATAATAAATTATAACCATAGAATATTAGTGTTTAAGCATTATATATATATATATATATATATATATATATATATATATATATATATATATATATTAAACAAAGTTCACCCAATAAAGGGCTCGAGAGCCACTCAAGGTAGTGGGTTACTGAATGATGATATATGTTATACGAATGCAAGAGGAGGTGGTAGGAAGTGAGGATTATGAGAATAAGGAAGATACATAATGATTAACTCTGGAAGAGGTTAAGTTTGTAGTGTTCAGGAAAGCATGCATGCAGGGCCCTGTTGCACGAAGTCACAGTTCCTGGGAAGAAGCTTACTGATTGGTACATTTTTAAATATGAAGAAAATGAGGATGATTCAATTCCATGGATGCAGCATGTGCATATTACAAATGTATGTGATTCGACAAGACTGTAAAGAGACAACAGAAAGCTTTGTATAATGAGAAAAACAGAAAGATAGGGAATGAGAAAAGTTATGGCATAGATAGATAGATAGATAGATAGATAGATAGGTAGTGAACATATGACAATATATATGCTGGCTGAAGTCTCCCGTAGTTTATCAACGTATGAGGGTCAAGCAACTCAGTTCCTAGGAACTGACAGCCAGACACCTGCAGATATGATTTGATTATAATGGTGAAGGCTTTGTGCAGAACCAACCACACTTTTTGAAGGGGCAAATACAGAGACCTGGTGCACTATGTGCCACAAGGTCTCCAAATGATCCTCAGCAGGTTTTGAATTCAGAGTTGTCCTTCTCCTAGACCAGTTGCCATCCAAGGCTATAGAACCCAGTCTGTCCTGCTATTTACTCAGAGCTGGGGGAAGAAGAGGATTCATACCGCTCCCAATGGTATTAGCACATAAGTGAATGTAATGGATTCGACTGGAATTCAGACTCTGCTCTACAATTCCACAATCCGTGCCACTATCCATTACTCCACTGTGCCTCCTACAATGACAAGATAGATAGATAGATAGATAGATAGATAGATAGATAGATAGATAGTCAATGAAATGCATTATTGTCATATGCTTTAAACTGCTTAAAACTAATTAAAACCTTTGTATAATGAGAGGAACAGAAAAATAGAAACAAAATAGGAAAGATTACGGAATAGATAGATAGATAGATAGATAGATAGATAGATAGATAGATAGATAGATAATGAATAGACTGAGATAGATAGATAGATAGATAGATAGATAGATAGATAGATAGATAGATAGTCAATGAAATGCATTATTGTCATACACTGTAAACTGCTTAAAATTAATTATTTTATCACAAATCAATGCATTAATAAAATAGTTGATTTGCTTTCTTTAATAATAAGTTAAACAGTGTTTTTCTAACTTTCTTTATTTATTCATTACTATATGGATAAACTTCCCTTTAGGCTTATTAAAATATTCTTAAACTCAAACCAATGTTCTAAGATATTTCACCAAAATTATGTATTATAAAGTATTTCATCAATTCAAATGTTTTAAATTAACTCTCTTTCACCGATAATTTTCAGTTTTAACAAAATATTCAAGACTAAAATATGAATACGACATATGTTTGATCAAATAAATATTATATCTGTTTCAATATGTATGCACAAATGGGCTACTTGCCAAGCTTAATAGATAGATTCTTTTTATTTTCAATGAAATAGCAAAGGTATTCATCTAAAACAAAATCTAACAGAGCAATTGCAATATTAAATCTGATGGAGAAAAACAAACAAAAACGAATTTTGTCTAAAGCCATTTTATGTGAACAAATCTTTCATTGCTTTAAGGATAATCCTTGAGCAGTAATAATTAACTTTTGCAGACAAATATTCTCCGAAAGGGGATAATTCACAATTTGGTGTCATACCCTTTGCTACGTCCTTAAAATAAAACGTTCTTCTCACCTTCGTAATTCCCCTCCCTTATGAAACTTTATTTACCGATAGTTCCACGAGTGGAACATGTTTTTTTTTTTTATTAATTTTAATTCTTTTATGGGTAACATATGCAAAAAAAAAAATACCCCAAAAAACTCAAAGGCAATATGTGCTTACAATTAATGCCTGCCTGGTATCAAACAAATATGCCTGAAAATATGTTCTGCTAATTGAACAATGGACACGAAAAGGTTAAGTTCTTGAAAATGTGAGACACTAAAATGGAGATCTCACAAATTATCTGTTAATTTCATTTTTGTCTTACAATTATCAATACAGCATACTTATATATTAGGCTAAAAATTTTCAACTGTATTTTCATTCCTTATCTTCTGCTAATTCCTAAAATCTTCAGGCAGACATTACCAAAAAATCGTAAACCTCCTCCACGCAAGCACACATTCACGCACACACGAGACGAAGGAGATCTTCGAAAGTAATGCCTTCTATTTATTCTTGCAGAAACTATAAAGAGCACAATAACAATATTGGTTAGACCAAGTTTCCAGTTGAAAAAAAAACACTATTTTTCCACATAGTTACGACAAATAACTATACCATTTATGGTAACTATGCCTATGCCAGAGATAAAAAAAAACCTGGCACAAGGAGAGGTGATTCACTTTTTCAGACATCACATTCACCACTGTGCTCACATCCATTATTTGGTTTCTGAACATTCAACAAGCATTGATGTATAGGCATAAAGGTTCAAACTCTGTTGCCATATGACTAACATCTGCCAGTGATATGTTAAGTCAAACTTAATACAATAGGTGGCATTACTTTTGTGTCAAAATACATATACATAGTATGGTTACTGGGGTTTTGAAAAAGTTAACACGGAAAATGGTTCTTAATAGGAGAGGACTCGCACTGCATGAGGAAACTATCAACCGTTCACCAGAATGGGTTGAAACATATACAGAATGAAAGTTGGCTTGACCTTTGTTGTTTACCTAAAACAAAATTTAAACACAAGGAAAGAATAACCAACTTACCGTCACCCATTCAATACACAGACATGTATATGAATAAAATGCAAAAACGCCTCTTTTTTTATATTTTAGCTTGCAGCCACGAAAACTGTAATGATCCATTTTTAAGAATATTTTTCAAATTTTCTAAAAAAAAAAACAACAAAAAACCAAATGTATCTCTCTGCTTATCTAGTTGTAAATATCTTACCGGCAAAATGGACATTGCAAGAAAGAACAAAAACAACAAAAAAAAAAAAAAAGGCTACACAATGACAATGTGATAATCATAATAATAATGATGAAATCAATTTAATCACTAACATAAATATTGATAATAAATTATGAGAAACAAACAGAAATGTTGATACGTTTTTCTTGCCTGCTGCTTCTTCATTTTGGCTTGAATTCCTTGCTTTATACACAAATAAAAAAAAATAGAACTGACAACGTTTAACAAGTTTATCTCGCTTTTGGATCTGCCATAAAGTTGTTCCTTCATCCCATAACTAAAAAATCATTAGGGAAGGGTTAGGGCAGTTTTGCATCCTCCTCATTTCCCAGGAGACCAACTGAAGGGTAGAATCCCTGAAAATCATCATGACATGACAGTGACAAGACCTACTGGGAAATTATCTGTGAATAAGACAGAGAGAAATGAAGTCATTCCTTTTCCCAAGTGAAGTAAACCCAACTAATCTGGAATTCAGTCTTACTTAATCACTTTTATTTTCTTTACTAACAACCTCCCATTTCTGTCATAAGTATTTTGTGTGTTTCTTTGTATAACACAGCAAAAATAGCACATCATAGTGCAATTGTTGTTAAGGCAATACTATTAATTTGCTCTAACTTGAAAAATAAAGCAATGTCCAGTCCAGTCACACCACTGATTTCCAGTAATATTTCATTAATTTAATATAAGTGGCAGTAAAAGGATTGAACAAGAGAAACAACTCTTGTTCTAATTACTGCTAATTACAGAGTTGTTTACCTTTTTCTTAATAAGCTCCTAATAAGAATAAACTAATTAACTTAAAGTTAGCTGTTATTATAAATAATTATAACTAGAAAGGAACAAGAGGAAGGTAGAGATGAGTAAATTCAGTAACAGTAGCTTGTGAGATTAACACTTGAACCATAGTAGAGTGTGTTAGGTTCTTTACTTTGAAAGAAAGAACTCTTGAGATGAATTTTATTCAGATCTACCAAAGCTGCAAACATTGTGCACAAATCTATTAATCAAATTATCTCTTTTAGTTTAATCTGTCTACACTTCAATTAACTTTGGGTTTATAACTAAATCTTTACAAAATGTACTGCATTGATTAAGTTTAGTGAACAGAAAATAGGAATTACCAGGAAGTCCCTAACATATCATGATGTCTTTCCTATTGATCGCCGTTTTCTAATTTGACAACTGATTTCTCTCAATTTCAATTCTGTTGAAGAGCTTCCTTTTGAATTTGGTGTCAATTTTAGAATTCTGGTTTTTTAAAGGGATGAAAAAAAAAACATTATTTACATTATTCGGACTATTGTCCTCATCTTTGTTGCCATATTTATTACAATGCTTCAGCCATTGTACACTCTGGCCTTCTTCAGGTAGTCAGAATGTCAAACTGAACCCTTTATTTCGCTCACTTGTGTAGACTGGTCTAATTCCATGTGCCATGTTTAATGGATGTCAGTTGTCAGTTATCTCCAGTTAATTCCCCTCTCCAAGTTCTCCACTGCCTTAACCGGGTATTGAACTCACCTACCACTGGATCTAACTAACGCCTTTATCCACTGTGCCATATGTCCTTCTGGACATCTGTGTATGAATTTCTGGGTAATATAAACCTAACATCTTCAGCCACCATTTTTTTTACCATTGCTCAAGGTCACATGGTACAGTGGATAAAGGTGTTAGATAGATCCAATGACAGAACCCAAAGAGTGTGAGTTCAATACCCGGTTAAGGCAGTGGAGAACTTGGAGAAAGGGAATTAACAGGAGATAACTGATAACTGACATCCATTAAACATGGCACGTGGAACTAGAAGAGTCTACCCCAGTGAGCAAAATAAAGGGTTCAGTTCAACATTTCAACCACCTGAAGAAGGCCGGAGAATACAACGGCTGAAATGTTGTAACAAATATGGTGACAAAGATGAGGACAATAGTTCGAATAATGTAAATAATGTACATAATACCTCATCTCAGGAATATAGACAGATGAAAAAAAGTTTTGTTCCTATTTCTTAAAACAATGCTTGATCCTTGCACATTAATTTTCAAATCGTATTAGAAGAAATATCAACTAGTGACAAGAAAATGTACAACACTGCAATTCAACCACATTTTAACACAACTAATCAGATATTTCAGATATTCAGATAATACAACTTCTGAATTTCTCTAAATTCATATGGAATCTATATATCAGTTTCTTTTCCTACTGAGTGAAAATATAAGAAACAGTTTTGGTAAAAGAACTGGAATTTTTCTTCCACAATTGGTCACAACTGTTGATGATGTCCATGGGCTCTCTCTCAAGGCCCATCTTGAATATTTTCATTTCTAGTGTAGACCACTACTGGAATGTTCACTCATTAACAGTTGCTTGAAGTGGTTAAGTTTGCAGCGATTGGGGAAACATTCTCTTGAGAGTCAGAATTGAATACAAGAAGAATGGGGATAATTCCCCACACCCAGTGTATGTGTCAGGGCAGGTCCTAGCTGGAAAGTTCTGAATTGTTGAAATAAATGAATGCAGTTCATCTGAAACTTTGCCATGGAAAAAGCAATAAAGTAGCATGACGTTTGTTGTATCTATAAGGAAGAGATCATAAAGTGAAAAATAATTCATCACACATAAGGCTGGTTAGATGCTTTTTGGACTCTATGAAGGCTGGAAAATGAAGACTGTGTAGCTCCAGCCCAGATATAGTAGCAGTACTTTATTTTTGTTTGACCTGGCTCTTGGAAAAATAGTGCATGGCAGGTATCAAGTACTTTCAGTTGTGCAACAAATTCTCGTCATCATATGGCTAAATTTTTGCTTCAAGCCTGATTGTGTTCACATCTGTTAGTAGGTTTGTAGGTCACAGCTGCACATTGTAGTAAACAAAAAAGGAGGCTATAGTGTTTCAGTTTATCATTAAAGGTGGGTATTATTTAAGTATGTCCTTTAGTACATATTTGTACATATTTAGTACATATTTAGTACCTATTTGTGGCTAGAAGATTAACAAAGTTGGCATTGCCTCTGCAAAAATGTGGGATAAACAACAAAATTATATTAGCGATTGAGAAATTCATCTATCTTCATTCATTAATCTA